TCCATTGATTTTTAGAGAGAGTAGAAGGGAGGGAGAGATACAGAGAGAGAAACATCAATGGAGAGATACACATCGATTGGTTGCCTCCTGTGGGCACAGATTGAGCCTGCAACAGTCTGCGGGCCAACACTCTAACCAGGGGTCCTCAAACTATGGCCCGTGGGCCACATGCGGCCCGCCGAAAACATTTATCTGGCCCGCCAGGTGTTTTTGCCGCCGCTGCCTGTCCTGCTTAGCAGCCGACTCATCCCGGGCCTACAGTGCGCATGTGTGGAATGTCTGAGGGACAGTGAACTGGCCCCCTGTTTAAAAAGTTTGAGGACCTCTGCCACTGAGCCAAACTGGCTAGGGCCTGTTTAACACATTTGACTCATGCTCTTCTGCTATGACTGAGGTTCCATGAGAACAGAGACCAGACCTGTATTTGTTCACTGTTGATTCCCCGCTCTACTGTAAATATTTGTTAGTTTAAAAACTGAATAACTCTATTACAAAACCAGTCAAAGAAAAGGGAAAGGTAATCAGATCCAAATACTTCAGCATACTATGGACTTCTCTTTGTTTTTTTCTCTCTCTTTGTTTTTTATTGTAAAAAAATAAAAACTTAACCATGACAACATAACCACCTGGTGTCCTCACAAGGTGTGTGGGTGAGGTGATGAGGTGTACAGATGAAAGTCAGCACTCCAGAACACCAAGGCGATGACATTGGCAATCCCATTAGATTCTATGCTTTCAGCCATGAGTGGGTATTTACAGAAATTATCTAATTTTAGCTAAACTAATCTTCACAAAATAGAAAAGTGGCTAAAAATGATTATTGCAAAGATCCACAGATTAAAGATAACACTAAACTAATAATAACACTAATACTACCAACACCAGGAAAATAGCAGAGTTGACATATCTTCTCCTAATAGGAATTCATAATCAGTCACATTATGATTTCAAAACAATGACTAGTCAATCACATGCTACCAAGCAGATACTTAGACAAAATTAAGCACACTTAATCTGTCCCTTCAAGGTAAAGTTGACATTTTAACAATGAGGAAAAAAGTTATTTCTTTTTAAACAAAATAAAACAAAAACTCAAGTGTTAAAGATAAAATTTTAAAAATGGATATCATTAAATGTTTCTATTGTTATACAGTTTGGGAGCCTTAAATGATCTAAGTGTATAAACTATAAAACTACTCGTATCTAGCCCTAGCTGGCATTGCTCAGTGGTTAGAGCATTGCCCACCCACCCAAGTATTGCAGGTTCGATTCCCAGTCAAGGGCACGTACCTGGGTTACAGGTTTGATCCCCAGCCCTGGCTGAGGTGCATGTGGGAAGCAACCAATCGATGTGTCTCTCTCACATTGCTGTCTCTCTCTCTGCCCTCCCATTCTCTCCGAAAATAAATGAAAAAAATATCCTTGGGTGAGAATTAACAAAAACAGAAAGAAAAAAAAAACAATTACTTATACCTATACACTTAAATATCCTAGCAGAATTTTCTAACTAGTTTTTAAAGATGCCAACTAAAGAATAATCCAGGATTAAGAACACATTTTTTTTAATCAAAAAATGTAGCACCTTTCAATTAGTCCACAAGAACTGACAATGAAAGATGGAAATTTATTAGCTGGATTACAAAATGAATCTGAATATAATCAGTGAATAGGATGAAAAATGAATACTATAATTTAGTAAATTCGGGTATCTTTTTCAGTTATGATAACCATTAAAAGCAAAACTAAGTACCAAAATTTACAGAACCTGTAATTAGACCTTTGCATACCCATATCATAAGTTGTTAAAGCAAAATTTTTAAAAAAGAATATTTAATCACATTACTTTCATCAAAAGAAAAATTATTAATATGAAGTTTTTTATACCTTTACAATGAAAATATTTTAAAATTTATTTCATTCTCATTTTTCTACTTTTATGTAAATTTACAATGCACATAATAAATTAGTAAAGTAGTAAGTACATTTGTAATTTTACAATAAAGAGACATACATTATTGGAATGTATGTTCAACAAAGTTTAGAGATTACTACTTTATAACATCAAAAAGCAGTTGAAAGATTTTAGGTCAAAGGAGTAAAAAAAGAAAAAAGATCAGATTTGAATTTTAGAAACATAATCCTAGAGATAATAGGCAGAGAGAAAGTGTTTGGATACTTAGACAAAATTAAACACACTTAATCTGTCCCTTCAAGGTAAAGTTGACATTTTAACAATGAGTAAAAAAAGTTATTTCTTTTTAAACAAAATAAAACAAAAAACTCAAGTGTTAAAGATAAAATTTTTTAAATGGATATCTTTAAATGTTTCTATTGTTATACAGTTTGGGAGCCTTAAATGATCTAAGTGTATAAACTATAAACCTACTCGTATCTAGCCCTAGCTGGCATTGCTCAGTAGTTAGAGCATTGCCCACCCACCCAAGTGTTGCAGGTTCAATTCCCAGTCAAGGGCACATACCTGGGTTACAGGAGGTTAAAGTGATTTAAAAAATAAAATAAAATAATCCCTGTTACTATGCTAACAGCAGACAACATTCTATAAGCCCCTTGTATCTTTAAAGCCCTTTGCAGGACACATTGGTATATTTTAACAGAGGCTTTAGGCAGAGCAAGGCCTCCTATTCTGTGGTCAACCAGAGGCAATGGGGACCGAAGAAAAAGGCGAGTTGGAGACATGAGAGGGAACTGAGAGCAACACTGGGCTCTATGACTATTGAAGTGCCTTATTACTTATCTACTAGAGGCCCAGTGCATGAAATTCATGCACAGGTAGGGTCCCTAGGTCTGGCTGGGCAATCAGAGCCAATCAGGTTTACCGTCTCCCCGCCTCCCCACCTCCTCCTTCCCTTGCTCCCTCAGCGCCCCACCACCAACGCTGCTGGTCACCCGCCATGTTCCGTGCCACCCACTGGTGGTCAGCGCATGTCATAGCGAGCGATGGAACTCCCCATCTCCCGGTCAAACTCCCGAGGGGACAATTTGCATATTAGCCTTTTATTATATAGGATAGGCTAGGAGTAAGACTAGAAATGATAGAGCACTTCTCTTTTCTGATAGTCTAATTTATAATTTTTAATAGTTATAAAAGTTATTTTAAAATAATTTAAATAATAGAAAAATTTATAAAATGAAAAGTAAAATATTGCCTTTCTACCTCCTACTACTCTACTGAGTTTGCACATGCCAATCACTGTCAATAACCATAGAAAAAAGTCTGGATTTCTTCCAGGAATTTTTACTGTATATATACTTTTATGTGTATATATATATGGAGGCATATACATTTATAGAGTTTTTGTATTATTTAACTATATAAAAAATAGACTCATTCATATTGGTCTGAATTGCTTCTTTTCCTTCACAATCTGTAACAGCCATTGTTTTAGGACAGTGCATATGGATTTAGCGCCTTTTTTACAGCTGTAGGGAATGCTATCTTACTGACATGACATAGGTTATTTAACCATCCTTCATTGATAGTCATTGGCGGCATTACCTTTACAATAATGAACATGTATACTTCTATACTTCCTGAGTAGGATTCCTAGAAGTGGAGTACTTTTAAAACGTTGATGTTTTAAATGGCTACAGAATGGCTATAGTAATTTATATTTCAAACAATAAAGTTCAGCCATTCATTCTGACCTATCTATTAAAATTTTTTATAGATTCCTAGATTTAAAAAAAATCTCAGAAAATAATCCCCACAATTTGTAGCTGAGTAAACAAAGGTTCAGAGAGAGCAAGGCTATGGGCCCAAGATCTCAAAGCTTCTGAGATGAGATAATAGGACAGCAGGAGTTCCACGAATAGCGGTTACTGCTGAAAGACAGGACAGCAACTTCAGTTAACGGACTTCAAAAATAATGTGTTCCACCAGAGCTACTAACAAGTAGGAAAAGGGACATACTGTCATCTTTTCCTTGCCTAATTTCAGCAAGAAAAGGAAAAAAGGTAGTAAATTCCTAAAAGATACAATAGCAAAAGGGGGCACAGAAGAAGGATTCTCAAAGTAGGTGGAAGAATGGGCACCAAGAGCTAAAGGTATCATAAGTTCAGCTGCATGAAGTGAGCAAGTGTGGTGGAAAAGACTCTGACATGGGATGACCTTAGCAAAAAACCTTCCACAGCCTCAGTGGGTTGTATGAAAAGTTTCTTGGTTCTAACTATCTCCATGTGGCATCCAAAATGAATGCCAGTACTGAAACCAAATTCTAAAGAGAAATATCAGAAAAGAACTAACATCCCACAATGAAGAAACATCTTCAAAGAAGATGTTGTTATAAAAATACCACAAAAGTACTTTCCAACAAATTCCAGACCTAAAAGTAAAGCTTTAAAATGAAGCTCCAAGCAGAGTCTTGAATCCTTTGCTCTGTGCCTGAAGAGGCCCATTTAAAGGAAGGCACTTCTAACCAGATAACACTGTCTTTATTCGACCAGACTTATGGGGCAGAGCAATGAGAAAGCAAGGTGGCAACTGGACCCTTTGAAATCTGGATGATCTAGAGCAGGGGACAGCACGCTTTTTCTATAAAGGGCCAGAGAACAAATCTATTAGGCTTTGCAGGCCATAGGTCTCTGTTATAGTTATTCAACTCTGCTATTGTAGTGTAAAAATACACCCAGAGACAATGCATAACTGAACAAGCATGGTTGTGTTCCAATGCAACTTTATGGATGCTGAAATTTGAATTTCACATAATAATCATAAAAGATTATTCTTGTTTTGATTTTCCTAATGATTTAAAAATATAAAATCATTCTTAGCTCATCGGCTGTACATAAACAGGCAGTGGGCTAGATTTTGCTGGTGGACCACAATCTGACAACCTCTGGTACAGAGCATTTAATTGTCAACTGAACTGAACTTGAATGCGGATGGAAGATGGAAACATCTGAGCCCAGCTCCTAGGAAAGTTAAGTTAGAAAGCAAAAAGGTAGAAACATGTTTTTCTTAAAGAGCTTCATGTATTTACCTTAAATCTCTTCTCTTGCTGAATTCCTCTGGTGGTATTGTCCAGGGCAGGTCTTGAGGAAGACATTCTAAAACTTCTGAAGAGAAATCAGAGAAATCCACACCATACTCTGTTAGTATTCCTTCTGTTTCAGGCTCAATTTCACCAGCCTGCCCAAGACTCTTAGCCAGCTGCCTGTGGACAAGACAGAGAGAAACAAGTGTGTTAGTCAGTAAAGGGAAGACAGGTACCCATTTCCTCTCTAAAACTGACCCGAGTAGGAAAGTCTTCAAAATCCCTTGCCCTTCCCCTAGTAGGAACACCCTCACCAGTGAATGAGGGGCCAAGCAGAAGAGACAATGATATACGTGGCCTGTTAAAGCCATGACTACTATGTAATGTTAACTTTCTTCAGGAATTCTGTCCTAGGGAGTAGAGCCAGACAGCTTTCCTTTGGACTCCAGCAATTGTTTTTAATGGAGAAGTCAAACTGATATTGTTAAAAGCTTTTGTCAATTTTTTCTCTTGTTTACCTTCAGAGACAATTCTGATCAACCCAGTTTGTTGTTAAATCATTAGTTTCACAGTCCCTATACCTTAAGTCATGCTCACTAGATTAGATTCAATGTTTATATTTCACAATTCTACAAATTTTACCTTAATATTTTAAAGTATTTTATCTCAACACAAAAGTAATATATGTTCATAGAATTTGGAAAATACAGAAATGCACTGAGATGAAATTTATCTGTAATCCAGTCACCAGGCAAAATGCTATTCACATTTGAGGGTACTGGTCTATTAAAAGTAAGATTGCATTTAATGGGATAGTTCTGACATTATGAGTAGGGTTCCACCTTCAGGGGGCCGATCTCACTCTTTATCTGTGGGTCACCTATACATATGTCAAAACTGAAAGCTCCCATTCTCATATATATTGGCATACCACATATAGACCACAAGTTACATGTTAAATACAGATATCCAACAGGAAATGCAATATATGAAGCAGCTGCCTTTGTAAAGGGTTCTGGAGACCAAAGATGGCTACTTCTGTTTTGCAGGTCTACCAGAGTGATCTAGGAATCCACTCTCAGCTCTTCCTGCAAGGAATTTAGATCTGCCATTAGAGTCTTTTCTGGGATAATTCAATTTCTTAGAAGAAGATACCATTTCTAATGTAAGGGTAGATGCCTGGCCGCCAGAGTCCTTAGGTGCACAGTGGTGGAAGGGGTGGAGAATGTGACTGCCTCATATATAGACTTCCAACAAATTCCCATTTTCAGCCTTGCTACTAGAACACGGCAGTGGTGGCAGCAAGGCTGGCCCCATTTCTCACACGCCAGCCAAGAGAGAGAAGCCCACAGTGGACACATGCACCTGCCCACCAGCATAGGCTCCAGGTAGCCTGTGAATTCCTTACGTACAATGTAGGCTCAGATCAGTGTCTTTTCCTCACATCTAGATGGTGATCTCCCAGAAAGCACATCAAAAAGCCAAAGATAGCAAAAATACAAAGTAAAAAAATAACAGAAAGCTAACTGGAAGATCCACAAATATTTGGAAATTTAAAAACTATGGGTTAAAGGGGGGGGGGAGAATTTTAACTGACTAGAACACAACATCAATATTTATGAAAAACAGCTAAAACAGTGCTTTCAGGAAATTTTACAGCATTAAGTGCTCATTTTAAAAAAGAAGAAATGTGTCAAATCAATTTCTAAGCTTCTACCTTAAAAACATGAAAAAAAGAAAAGCAAATTAGATCCCAGGTAAGCAGAAAGAAAGAAATAAGAAAGAAGAATCAATGGATAGAAAATTGGGAAAGAAAAACAATAAACTAAAATCTGATTCTTTGAAAAGAGAATGAAATAGATAAGTTTCTGGTGAGGCTGACCAAGAAAAATAAAGAAAGACACAAGTTGCCAATATCAGGAATGAGAGAGGGAACATCATTACAGATCCTACAAGCATTAAAAGTATAGGAAAAAATTATGATTTTAACCCAATAAATTCAACATCTTGGATGAAATGGATCAACTCCATGAAAGACACAAACTGTAAGATTATTCAAGCAGAAACCCATATCTAAATATTCCTATACCTATTTAAAACCTTACAAAGAAAACTCCAGGCCCAAATGGCTTTACTGATGAATGCTACCAAGTATTTAAGAAAAAATTAATACCAATTCCACACAAGCTTTCAAATATAGAACAAAACAAAATACTTTCCAACTAGTTTCATGAAGTTAGCATTACCTCGATGCCAAAATCAGACAAAGAATACATTAGATCAATATCCGTCATGAATAACTTTTTAAATTTTGAGCAAGCTTTTAAATTTTAAATCCCACAGACTTAAAATTCTGATAAAATATTAGCAAACAGAATTCAGTAATATATAAAAAGCATAATACATCATGACCACATAATTCAAGATTTGTCCAACATTAAAAGTCAATCAACATAATTAGTCATATTAGCAAATAATGAGGAAAACATATACAATCCTCTCAAAAGATGCAGAAACAGCATTTGATGAAATCTATCCATGATCAAAACTCTCAGCAAATGAGTAATGAAGAAGAACATCCTCAATTACAGCTAATGCCAAACTCAGTGGGGAAAGACTAAATTAACTTTCCTCTGGATTAGGAAGAAGACAAGGGTGTTCACTCTCACCAGCACTATTAAACATGGTATTGGAGGTCCTAGTGAATGCCATTAAGCAAGAAAAAAGAAAGAAAAGGCATACAAATTGGAAAGAATGACTTCCACATTGCATGTAAATGGTTCAAAGGACTATCACTCCCATTATAGAAATGGCCAGCCCCCTGCATAATGCCTGGACTCTCTTTATAGAAGACCTCTCTCGTTCTATGAAAGTCCAGTAGCCAGCACACTGTATGACTTAGACTCTGCTTCTACTCAAGACTCTGATTGTGAAGAGAATGACACAAAGACAAAGAAGTGCTTAGAATTTATTCATGGCAGCTAGAATGGTTTCTAGTGACATATCAGTGTCTGGTGGCAATGCTGTCCTGAAAGGTAGCAGTAAGAATTGTTGGCATTATGACCAAACTTATCCTGATAAACAGATGATGGCTGGACTTCTTGCTCTTGCCTCTCCAGATCTGCCTTGGTTCCTACCCATGACTTCCTCAGGACAATCAAGACTCTTAATTGTTTCTGTGAGTCCTTCAATATCCTTCTAATAAATTCCTTTTCCAACCCAAGATGGTTTCTTTTTCTTTCTTTCTTTCTTTTTTTAAATTGATTTCAGAGAGGAAAGGAGAGGGAGAGAGAGATAGAAACATCAATGTTTAGAGAGAATCACTGATCAGCTGCCTCCTGCATGCCCCACACTGGGGATGGAGCCTGCAACCCCGGCATGTGCCCTGACCAGGAATTGAACCTTGAGCTCCTGGTTCATAGATCCACGCTCAACCACTGAGCCATGCTGGCCAGGCGAGCTGGTTTCTTTTGTTTGTACCAAAAATGAAAACAGTTGAAGACTCAGGTCTCATTAATTTTCAAAATGCTAATTCATTTTCAAAATCACTACATTATTACCTATGTTCACTAGAACAAAGTTCTCACTGAGTATGTGGAGAATCTATTGTCACTATCTTTAAAGTTTGAAGGACATTTTGAAAATTCATTAGTATTTTGAAAATTAATGAAACCTGAGTTACCTCCAACTCACCTAAAACCATTTATTATTTTCACAAGTTCATGTGGTTCTGTTTTCTACATCCATCTCTTAATACTAATGTCTTTAACTGACTAAGTTCTTAGTTGCAAGCACAAGAAACTAACTCTGGTTAGAAAAGGAATTTATTGGAAAGATATCAAAGAGTTCACAGAAATAGTAAGAGACTTGTAGAACCTGAAAAGGGGATAGAAACAAAGAATTACACGCTCAACTTCAAAATTCTTGATTCCAGACTAATGGGAAACTTAGGGTTTTTCTATGTATATCAAAAAGATACTTTGAGTCACTTACAGGATAAGATGGGGGGGAAATTCAAAGGGTAATAAATGATCCTATATAATAAAAGAGAAACATGTAAATTGACCATCCCTCTGCTACACTCACCAGCCAATCAGGCGTGAGTATGCAAATTAACCCAACAAAGATGGCAGGTTAATTTGCATACACAGGCACCGGGCGGAGAGCAGAGTGGGAGAGCCGGTGGCTTGGGGGGACGTGGCTCCCTTGGTCGCTCCCCCCAAGCCGCCAGGTGGAGAAGCAGAGCCGGATCCCCGTGCTCTAGTTTTCCCTTCCTGCTCTGTCTCCATCCCATGGCCTTTCACTCTGCCAATTCCCCCAAGCCGCTGGGTGGAGAGCAGAGAGGGAGAGCTGGCGGCTTGGAGGACTTGGCAGAGTGAAAGGCCATGGGATGGAGACAGAGCAGGAAGGGAAAACCAAGAGCACGGGAGCACCAGGAATTCTGGGAATAGTAGTTCTGGTGGCAGCCCCAGGACCAGAAGCGGAAGCCCAGAGCGCGGGGAGGAGGAAGCGGAAGCCCAGAGCACAGGGAGCACCAGGAATGCTGGGAATCGTAATTCTGGTGGCAGACACATCTCCTAGACACTAGAGCAAAGTGAGCCTGGAGCAAATTACTGTTGCGGTGGGGGATGGAGGGAAAGCAAAGGTGAGAGACCTAAGTAAAATCAGAGTGTCTAGAAAAAATTAAAGGGACAATATCCTAAAACTTCCAGGAAATCTCCACCAATGAAGCAAAGAACAAAAAAGCCTCTATTATTCTGTGAGCAACAAACCAAACTGAGTTGGGATCTCAGACAACTCGCTCATATGATTGCAAAGACAGACAGAAACTCCCAGATTGGAGAGGGCTCCACTGAGGGCTCCCAGATTGGAGAGGGTGCAGGTTGGACTGAGGGACCCCCCACACCCCCAGTGCACGAATGTCGTGCACCGGGCCTCTAGTTATATCATAAAAGTCATGGTCTCACTAACTTTTTTATGTGAGAAGTTGGGGGTACTAATCAGAAAGGTGAAATTCAGAGAACCAGATTTACACACACACACACATACACACACACACGTCCTATTACATAGGACGATGGCTGGTTCCAAATGACCTTCCATTCTCACAAGTCATAAGTGGACTATGATAGTATTATATCCATTCTAAGGGTTGTTTCTAAAAAGACAGTAGAGCAGCA